GGTTTTCTTGGCAAGATTTGTTCAGAGGGAGTTTGCCATTCTTTGAGGCTGAGAGAGTGTGACTTGTCACCCAATAGGTTGCCATGGCTAAGCCAGGATTCGAACCCTGGTCTCCAGAGGTGTAGTCCAGCGCTCAAGCCACTACGCCACACTGGCTCCACGTTATTAATAGTAGTATTAATATTTCTTTAGTATTCATATTGTGGTTATTTTATGTATATAAGCAACTCTTGCCAATACAGAGGTGTGTGTGGTTTCGTACAACTAAATTTGTGTGGAAAAGTTATACAAATATGATTTACTTTTTAAAGAAGATATTCTGGCTCAGATTTTTTGCATGTCAGGACCTTGTTTTAATGTAAATACTAATGTGGGTATAGAATATAACATTTTTGTGTGGATCGCACTGTGATTTGCACAAAAACTGTGTTCTATTTTCCTGCTTTAAAAAGTCCCCAAATGTGAGAAACTATCATAAAAAGGAGAGGGGGGAAACTCTCTTGTAATCTCACCTAGGAGGGAGAAAGACTTTGAAATTCTTCATTCTTGGATGAGAGAATGAAATAAATAAAGATTTACGGTACATCCCTACAAAAGCTCACATACACACACACTTTAAAATTGATGCTAGTTGGGAAAGACGTGGAATAAAGAAACTGGTTGTTATTGTTGTTGTGTGCCTTCGTTTTGTTCCTAACTTTTGGCGACCCTATCAGGGGGTTTTCTTGGCAATTTTCTTCAGAGGAGGTTTGCCATTGGCTTTCTCTGGGGCTGAGAGTGTGTGACTTGGCCAAGGTCACCCAGTGGGTTTACATGGCTGAGTTGGGATTCGAACCCTGATCCCCAGCATCCCAGTCCAATACTCAAACCACTATGCCATGCTGACTGGAGAAAGAAAGAAACTGGAATGGGGGCAAATTTATGCAGGCTTTGCCTTCCTGCTTTGCGATGATGCGCTTCACAAACTGCAAAAAGCTTCAAAAAAAAGCAAGGTGGTAATTTTGACTCAGGGGTCCATGATTTTATTTTATTTATGTCATTCTTTCTCCAAAGATTGCTTGTCTTGCTTCCTTTCAGAAACAATACTCCGCAGTAGTTGTCAATGCGCAGGTGTCAATGCGCAGCAGGCAGAACAGATAATTTGTGAAGTGCTAGGAGGGCATTGCGAAAAGCAAATCCATCAAAGAGCTGACAGGTGACTAAAGTTTGGGACATGACGAACGCGGTGACACAGGCAATTTTTGTAAGAGGACAAAAGTCGCAACTGTATTTTGCAGTGAATTTTCCTCTCTTAACCGTCAGCGACTGAGATCATTTCAGTTGAGGTTCTTCCTATGCCGTAGTGCTGGTGCCTTCCATGGCTGCACCTGCGCTGCAGAATGAATGCAGCTTGAAACCCTAAGGCACCAGATCCCATCTGATCTTGGAAGCTAAGCAGGGTCAGCCCTGGTTAGTACTTGGATGGGAGACCACCAACGAATCCCAGGTGCCATTGGCTGTATTTCAAAGGAAGGCACTGGCAAAACCACCTCTGAGTATTCCTTGCCTGAGAAAACCCCATGAAAATTGATGGGGTTGTCATAAGTCAGGAGGTGACTTGAAGGCATGTATATACACACATACCAGGGTTCAGTTCCCAGCACAGACATGGAAACCCACTTGGTGACCTTGGGCAAGTCGCATGCTCTCAGCCTCAGG